TTTTGACCTGAGCTGTGTGGTGTACAAGACTTTTCCAGGAATTTAATCCCACGATACAATTACCTTTTCATATAACTTCAGTAACGTTAACAGAGTTGGCTTTTTGGTTTGTTCTTAAAATATACGTTCATGATTACCTTGTAATTATATATTGTATAGCTTTATTTTCATCATTTGCCAATACCTGTAATGTTGAAGTTGTACCCGTAGCTCCTTAATTACCAATTCTCTGATAAATTCCTTTATATCACTTTTTTAAAAAACCCAATTCTGTCAAGTGACTTTTTAAATAACTATTCAAGCATTTTTGCTTAGCTTAAATTTTTTTTTTTTTTTTCCAAACAGTTCTATAGTAGTCGTTAATCATCTCCTTTTCATGGAACCTTAGCATGCCTTCACTGGGCATTGTTTCTTACAGCAAAATCACATAGGATGGTAATTTCTTCTTATCCCATTACATACAGATCATTTTAGTTATTTCTTATGGTCTTGAAGAATGGTTTTGTTGGGGGAGGGCAGTGCTGCTGTCTGTGTGTGTGTGTGTGTGTGTGTGTGTGTGTGTGTGTGTACTCAAAAAATAAAACATAATCAGAGGAATAATTTAGTATATAAAAGTCTTTATAAGGATCATTTTTGAATGCAAAAAAATTCAACTTTTAGATAGTCAATTTCCACTATGATTTTTTAGCTTATTTTCTTGCTAGTATTTTTCAGAGGAGCTAGATTTATTAATATAGTTTTCCATGACCATGCAGAGAATTACTGAGTAGAAAAGTTGTATGTTTCCATTCGAATGACGAAAGTATTTGCAAGGCTGTGTCCTGGAAAATATGTGTGGGGAAAAATTTTTGTTTTATTTTTTTCCCTTTTAACCCCATTCTCTACCTGACCCAACTGGTGCCCTGTGGTAATGAGTTTATTACATTTTTAAGTGCGTAAATATTTTTAAAGTATTTTCTCAGGTTTCTTTTCTGAAAAATATTGACAGATATAATACATTTTTTAAAAAGTTCTTTGGCATCTTCAGCAGTTTTTAATAGTGTAAAAGGATACCAAGACCAAAAAGTTTAAGAGACTTAGAGAATGACTGTTAACCCCTCATTGTTCAAATGAGAAATTGTGATGATGCTGACATTTAAGCAGTGCTCTAGTATGTGTGGCAGGCCTTGTTATAAGCACTTTGCTTGTGCGTATTATTATGTCCTCATGTTACTGATGAGGCAAGTGGGGCATAGAGAGGTTAAATTGACTTGCCCAAGGCCACGTAGTTAAGTCACTGGTGAAGCCACAATTTGAGGCTCTGATGCTGACCAGTTTTCTGCTACTTCCATAAGGTCTAGAAGGGGTCAGAATGTCCCTGCCATCTGGTTATGTCACCAGCTCTCTAGCAGTCTCACAGTCACTTTGCAGGAGTCACTGAGGCCTCGAATCTGCTTTGCAGTCTTCATCACACATTCTGCCACCCTGAATGGTTTCAAGCATGGCCTTACAATTGGCCCTACAAGACTTGGATTTCTTTTTCAAATCTGTGCACTTCCACTTTATCCATACATTCCATGCTCAAAACGCTAATATCCTGTCTTATTGTAACTTCATATTTTCCAGTTTTCTTACTCTTTACCACTAAACCTTTTTTTTTTTTTTTTTTTTTTTTTAAATGTACAGTGTCTTGCTTTGTCACCCAGGCTGGAGTGCAGTGGTGCGATCATGGTTCACTGCAACCTTGAACTCCTGGGCTCAAGCAATCATCTTCATAGCTGGGACTGAGTAGCTGGGACTACAGGCATGCACCACTGCCCCCAGATAATTTTCTTATTTTTTGTAGAGACAAGGGTCTCATTTTGTTGCCTAGGCTAGTCTTGAACTCCTGGCTTTAAGTAACTATTCCACATTAGCCTCCCAAAGTGGAATTATAGGTGTGAGCCACCATGTTTGGCATAAACCTTGATGCTTGCACTTGGTGTTAGGGTTTTTTCCCCCCCCCCCCCGCAACCCCATTCTCTACCTGACCCAGCTGGTGCCCTGTGGTCAACTCAGCCGTCTGATTCATACCCTCAGCTCTTTAAACCACTCATCCTCAAACATTACCAGCTTTGCAATCTTCCAAACCTGAATTGCCTAACTCAGTTTCTTCCTATGAATATTTGCTTGGGGTGTAAAATATAGCAACTAAAAATTATAGAAGTATACAGATTGGGGCTGTTAAAAATCTAGGGCATTCAATTGCAGTTGGACCTCAGTGCCATTGAGCAATCTTTGTCCTTGGTCAGGACCCTGTACTATAAACATTCACCATTTGGCTCCCAACTACTTAGTCACCCACATGCCTAATACATAACCTCACCTTCTAATTCACAGAGAGAGGAAAGTTCAAAATGCAGGAATTTCTGCCGCCCCCTATCAGCCTCCAAGGGAGTGTATCCATCTGTGTCCTGCTGCCTCATGCAAGGAGATATCCTTTCTGTTCAGCCCTGCCTCTGTTATGATCCCACTTCATCCCATCTCTGGGATCTTGCTCCTTCAGCCACCATCTTGTCACCTGCACTTTTCAGCTGCTCAACCTCTACTGATCCATTTCCCTTAGCCAAAAAAAACACCCCTTCAACCCTGCACTCCCTCTGGTTATTACACTGTTGTTTCCCTCCATGGTGAAGCTTTTTGAAAGAATTGTCAGTCCCCTTCCTCAGCTTAGAACCTGATTTATCTGATTGCTTGACTTTTGGTGTTGATCACTCTCTCATTTTCTAGGATGCCACTTTTATCATCTTCTCTCTTATGTCTTTGCTTTTTTTATACCTCCTATTGTATTGAGTGAAGTCACTAACCTAGCCAAGTCATCCACTCAAGATGAAACCCAGCAGTTGTCCTAGACTCTTTCCTCCCATTTATCTTCCATAGCCAATTAGTTGCCAAATCCTGTGATGTTTACCTATTAAACATCTGTCAAATCTGCCCCTTTCTCTTTATTCCCATGTCCACCAAACCACTTCAGCCTGCTACCATCTCTTTTTGAGATGTGGACTGATATTGGCTTCTTACCAACAATCATACTCCCTTATGTGGTCCTTTGTACTCCCCTGGGCAATAATGATGCCAAAGGACCCCCCAGAGAAGAAGTCTATGCTAGAGAACAAGAGTGACCAGAAGAAGCTATGCTCACAGAAGGCAAAGAAGCAGAGTCTTCAGGAAGGGAGACCAGTGTTATCCACCCAACAGAGCTATCTCATGAGGTAGACTGAAGTGTGGCCTCTAGATTTCAAAAATGGATGTCCTCTGTCTATGGAGTTGTAGGGTCAGAAGCTACATTGCTCTAGGCTGAAGGGAGTCCTGCAAAGCCCAGAAACTGAGAGTAGCTAGAGATGACTTCTTCTAAAAGATGAGCTGTGAGCTCTGTAGAAGCCCTCTGAAAAGCAGTTTCTCAGCATGGTGAGGTCAAGCCTGGAGCACTGCCCTCTGGGTTTGATCAATATAAGGTTCTGGATTTCAGTCTTGGCTCTAGCTGCTGGCAGCTGCGTGGATACTCCACCATCTCAGTTATTATTGCTTGCCAATTGTAGGTGATTTCAGCTAAGTTTGTTCCTTGCTCAGGGGCTCTTCCGATTGTCAGCTCTTCCTCCTCTGGTGGGAAAAGTGGAAAACTATTTTTTTAATGTTACTACTGTTGTAGTCTCTACTGTTGTAGAAATTCTGGAATAAAGCTGATAAATCAGGGCTTGTTTCTTCCTTTGACTATTTCAATAAATTGTCGTTCTTTGCTTAACCCCGTTGAAAGAAATAAGCAGATAAATATAGTTAAGGGAATATTTTATTTGGTTGTGAGTTTTAGTGCCTAAAAACTTGTTTAGTCTCTTAAATTACCCTAACTTGACTTACTTTCTGTTTTTAAAATATAATAATGCAAGAATAACTTTAAATATTAATTAGGTACGATATATAAATAGCATAATTATGGTCTGGTTAGAGCTGAGAAAATTCTAAGGTGATTAAGGTTCTGATTCATTTCTGTCTTGGGATTGCTATTATTAAAAAGTATTGCATCATCAGTTTTAGCTTATATAACTATTTTGAAAAGTTAATTGAAAAACTTGTGTTACTGCCTGTCTGTTTTCCTCCTTAGACTTTATAAAAGTCTGTAAAATCTGCACTTTTACAGATTTACTGCCAAATCTATAAAAAATAAAAAAAACACACACTAAATTAAAAAAAATATTTGTTATTATTTAATTCGAATTTCCCTAATGCCTAATGATGATGAGCACCCTGTTAGGATGCTCACATGTCATCTGTGTATCTTTGGCGAAATGTCTGTCACATTTTTGCCTTTTTTTATAAAAGTGTTTTTGTTTTGTTTCTTTTAAGAGATGGATCTCTCTTTGTTGTCCAGGCTGGAAAGCAGTGGCTGTTCACAAGTGTGATCATAGTGCACTGCAGTCTTGAACTCCTGGCGACAAGAGATCCTCCTGCCTCAGCCTCCTAGGTAGCTAGGACTACAGCAGGCTTGCACCACTGCACCTGATTCCTATTTTAAATTGAAATTATTTGTCATCTTACTGCGTTTTCAGGGTTCTTTTTACATCCTAGATTCAAGTCCATTAACAGATACTTGTTTTACAAATATTTTCTTCCGGAATATGGCATGTCCTTTTTCTTTACAGTGTCATTAGAAGAGCAGGAATTTTTACTTGTCAATACTCTGTATGTTTGTCTTTGTAGTTATAAAAGTAACATAACACTGTTATAATAAATCCAAGAATATTAAAATAGTCCTTTTCTATCTAATCTACCCATCTAGTATTTAAACATACGAATAATCTAGTGAAAAAGAATTTTATACTGTTATAGGCAAAGTTAAAATTTTTGTTTTAAGAAATATATTTTGAAAGTTTCTTTTGTATTTTGGAACTGAAATTTTTCTTCTTGTTCAAGAGGATATTTAGGGGAAAAAAAATTAACCTGTTCTAGTACTCCAGTTAACCTGTTTTGCTTTTCTTTTATTCTAGTGTTATCCAAGATAAATTCTGTGGGATTATAAACATCTCAGTGGAAGGCCTGCACGACGTCATGACGGAAGATCCTGAAACAGGAACTTATAAAGAGTAGGTGCATTATTTAATTAATCACAGTTGGATTTGGGGAATAATTACATGCTGCAAGATTTTTATTTACCATCACTGTGTAAGCACAGTATGGAAGTTTTATAATTTGTCTTTTGTACAGAAAAGTTTTTATTTGTTATTTTGCTTATGATATTTATTGTTTGATCTTGATATCAGCTTTATTATGTTACAGCAACAACCTGAATTGAGTTTCTTTGATTTAATCGTTTGATGATTTTTTACAATTTCAAATATTTTTTAGCATGTAAGTTTTTTTCCTAGTATGTTTTCAGCATGCTCTTTTTTTCAACTTTCTTCTTTATAATGCCATCACTAGCAAATAGAAAAGACTGTTACTTGAATCATATTTTGTTGACAAATATGGTTAGCAGATATATGTTGTTGAATCTTATTAAATATGTTAACAAAATGTGTCTGACATGTCACTTAGCTTTTGAGAACACTGGAGTTCGTATGAAGTAGAATTTTTTCAGACTATAAACCAAAAACAAGAAAGCATTCATGCATGTAGGCAGTTTTTTTTTCTTTTTAAGTTAATGTAAGGGTTTTCGACTGTATTAGTCCATTCTCATGCTGCTATAAAGAACTGCCTAAGACTGGGTAATTGATAAAGGAAAAGGGTTTAATTTAACTCACAGTTCCTCAGGACTGGGGAGGAACTGTGAGTTAAATTAGGAAACCTACAGTCATGGCAGAAGGGGAAGCAAACACATCCTTTTTCACATGGCGACAGGAAGCAGAAGTGCTGAGCAAAGGGGGAAAAGCCTCCTATCAAACCATCTCATCTCGTGAGAGCTCACTCACTAGCACGAGAACAGCATGTGGGTAACTGCTCCCATGATTCAATTACCTCTAACTCAGTCCCTCCCATGACACCTGGGGATTATGGGGGAACTACAATTCAGGATGAGATATGGGTGGGAACACAGCCAAACCATATCAACTGCACATGACAGTAAATTGTATACGTAATATGTGACAAAGTTTACAACTATATGTGAAATATTTAGGATATAATCAGATGTTCCTTGTCCTCTTTGGACTACACAGTTTAGCTGAGGGGAAGACATGGCTGATAGCACAATTAAAACACTAGTAATGAATACAGACAGTTACGTCTGTTTGTGCAGGGCACACCAAACAGTACAGTTCTAAATTTTGCTTTAATAGTAAATCAGGGAAAGAAAAAAGGCACTATGTGTTACAGTCTTCAGGGAAGGATATGGGTTAGGATGTAGGAAGTAGAACAAAATTATAACATATTTTAACTGGAAGAGGTGAGAGCCTGAAAGTTACTAGAAAATTTAGAAATTATCTAGTGCAGTCTCATAGTATTAACAATCAGGATATCATGGCTCTGAAAAGTTAGCTGGGCGCAACTTATTCACGCCTGTAATTCCAACACTTTGGGAGACTGAGGCAGGCGAAATGCTTGAGGTTAGGAGTTTGAGACCAGCCTGGCTAACATGAGTAAACCCCATCTCTACTAAAAAAAAAAAAAAAAAAAAAAAAAAAAAATGTGGAGTGACACTTCAAATTTGTGGAAGAGTCAAGATGAGTCAGGATCTCAATATGCCAAGCTCAGCCTTGAAGAAAAGGGTGTGCTTTGGAAGGGGGAAAATGTTGAAAGTAAGGAAAACCAGTTTTAGTATCCCGGCTACAAAGGCCTAGACTTGGGCATTTTATATTGATTAGTAGCTAGAACATATCTGACCACTGGTTTCTTTTTTACCCAGATTTGTTTGGTGATTTCTTTTTACTCTGGGGTGGTACTTTGCATATGGGAACACAGTTGAGAAACAAATTACCTACCTTTTCTGTGTCTCTGTTTCTAAGAGTGGTTAGACTAGATCTCTATTAAATCTTCCTACTTTGTAATTCTATTAATTACGTAGAGTTCTATAAATTACAGTCCATGAGACTATAAGGGATAAGTAAAGTTAGCTACATAAGTATGTATTTTATGTTTCTCACATAGACTTTTCTGAAAAGTCACTTAAATGAGCTAACTATATAACTTTTCAGAAAAGTCTGCATGAGAAACATAAAATACATACTTACGTAGCTAACCTGGCCTTCAACTTCTCCTTCTTGTTTATTTAAACAGTTTATTCAAAAAAGTTAATCTTTCTGGTTATATTGAATTCTTATTATAGTCTCTTAACTGAGTGAATTGGAAAAAAGGCAGAAAACTCTGTTTCCTTCACCTGCATCAGTAGCGTGTTAGGGTTCTCCAAAGAAACAGAACCAACAGGAGACAAAAAGATATATAAAGAAATTGATTGTGAGGAATTCGCTCACATGATTATGGAGGCTGAGGAGTCCAAAATCGACAGTCTGCAGGCTTGAGACCCAGGAAAGCCCATGGTGTAAGTCAGAAGTCCCTCCAGTGTGGAAATCGCCAGTGAACCTCCATTGAGTATAGAATACAGCCACAATTGTATTTCACAGTTTACTTAGCTAGTTGGCTCTGAAGGTGGAAGAAGTACAGGGTCACAGCTTGAAGCAGTCAGAGGATGAATTCTTCCTCATCTAGTCAGAGTTTTTGTACTATTTGGGTTTTCAATGGGTTGGCTGAGGCCCACCCACACGGGGAAAACAAACTGCTTTACCCAGTTTATATATTAAAATGCTAATCTCATCCAGAAACAGCCTCACTGATATACGCAGAGTAATGTTTAACCAGATTGCTGGGCACCCAGTAGCTCAGTCAAGTTGACACAAAATTAGCCATCACGCTAACAAAGCCTTGTTGACAGATCATCTTTTTATTCACACTGTTTATGGCAGGCACTGTGCAGCGTGAGGAAGCAACTGAGTCTCTGATGTGAAAGAACCCACAGCCTAGAAGGGTAGATAGGGACCAATGGAACAATACCTGGTGCAAGAGAGAAAGGAGTCCAGGGAAACAGAATAATTCCTAAGGGTTTGTAGTGGATTGGAGCCAACTAGTGAAGTAACCTTTGTGAAATACAAAGAATTGTGGTCTGTATTCTGTAGTCAATGGAGGTCTACTGGTGATTTCTACACTGGAGAGACATGATCAGTTTTATACTTAGAAATGTCACTTTGATGCATTGTGGAGGACAACCAAAGGGGTAGTGGTCTCAGACCAGGGGAACAACCTGGAATGCTTGTTAGAAATGCAGATTTTGCTTCCTCAGTGCAGACTCACATCAGAATATTTGAGGGTCACACAGTAGAATCTGCATTGCAAACAGGAAACACGGTGATTCATATACACTGTGAAAATTGAGAACCTACTACTGTGGAGGTGGGAAGACCATATAAAGGTAGCTGTTACAGTAATCTTACCTTGGTGAGCAGTGATAAAATGCATTTGAGATAGATTTTGGAGGAAGGATTAGCAGGAAATGGGGATAGGTAGCCATGGCTAGAGAGGGTTGAAAGGTATTTGTAGTTTGGGTGACATGTGACACACACATGCATATATAGTTTTTTTAACATAGTCATGCTTATACCTAGTAGCCTGTGATTTTTATACCTTGATTTGTCCTCATAACATATTGAAACAGGCATTTTTAAATTTAAACAACGTTTTGTGTGAGAAAATGGAAATGGGTTTTTATTTTCCCTTCTAATGATCCTTCTTTTTTAAACTTAGAAACATTTATCTTCCAAGATAAATAGATAGTCAACAGTTGCCTGTTACTAATCTTGATGCTAATATTTCTTCAAGGTTGTACAGAAATGAATTCTTTTAGATGAAAGAAGAATTCCATTTTGAGAGTTTATGAATCTGTTTATTTGTTGGGGTTTTGTTGTTGGGTTTGTGGTTTGGTTGATTGTTTTCTTTTTATTTTTTTAACTAGAGTTTTTATTAAGCCAGGAAAATATATTCCTGAGGCTAGAGATTTGCCTTCTTTGATTGCTGCTTGTCTGGTTAGAGTGTTTCTCTTTTACTATAAAAAAATAATAATATTTTTGTTGAAAGGAATATTGGGAAATGAAATTGACAATTCCTTGCCAAGTTTTGGGAAGTAAAAAGGAAGAAAGAATTTAGCTGCCAGGCACAGTGGCTCACGCCTGTAATCCCAGCACTTTAGGGGGCCAAGATAGTAGGATCTCTTGAGCCCAGGAGTGAGACCAATCTCTAAAAAAAAAGATTTTAAAAATTAGCCAGGCACATGCCTTTAGTCCCAGCTGCTTCAGAGACTGAGGTGGAAAGATTGCTTGAGTCCGAGAGGTCAAGGCTGCGGTGAGCTGTGGTTGATTGCACCACTTCACTCCCGCTTGGGTGACAGAGCAAAGACCCTGTCTTAAAAA